CAGAGCTTACTGAAGTGCTAGGTAAGTGAGCAAAACGACCATTACGAAATAACCTGATACGGGTAATATCTGCTTCAGTTGAATAATCAGTGACATAAGGCATGTTTTCCCATATTGGATCACGAGGTGGTTTTAAGCCACAAATATTACGCAGGAGAATACAAAGTAAAGTAATGTCAAACTTATTTTCATTTGGTAATATTGGAGGAGGAGGATACAGTAGATCCCATTGATGTTGCTTTAAAGTGCGATTATTTTTTAGAATCAAAAGCTGATTATAAATTTTAGGATTATTTAAAACATTAAATAAATCAGTACCTGACAGTTGTTTCCTCAATGTTATTCTTAAAGCTTCTCCACCAACATCAACAATTAATCTCATCAACTTAAAACCATTAGTTTTCTTGTTTCTGCTTAAGACTGACCCCATGTTGCCACCTGCAGAAAAAAAGTAGGTAAGACTTCCATGGTACAAATTCATTGTGATTATAAAAAAAACCTGGGGCCGGTTACATGAAGGCAGAATAGCTTTATCTATAAGATGGCAAATTGTTTTGAATTTTTACAAAATCTCTTAAAAGGCTCAATATTATGTGAATTGAACTGAGCAATCATTGAAATCAAATATTGCTTCAAAGATCACAAAATTTCTTTCCCCTAAGGTAAATATAAACACCTTTTTCTACAAGTTTGAAAATTTTACTATCCAACAAACAATGCTATACAGGCTTCGTGCAACCGTCCCCAGATGTGAAAAGTATGTAAAAAATAGGTACGAGTGTGTACATGTGGGTAGCCTTGACCAGAGTTATAGTACATGGAACAAGCAGTAGTCAGTAGTCCAACTGCTTAGTGTTGTATTTTTCAATGAATTAAGTGAAGTCCAAAGGCCATTCCCAAAGTCAAATCCCAAGGTCATTCCGTAGTAATAACACATGAAAAAATGTTTTCATGGCAAAATGCCTTAAAATGAAATCATTCCTTCCTTTGGCACTTCTCTTTGGAACAAAACGTTCTCTGTGCTCAATGTTTAATAAAAAGGCCCAGTAATTATCATTATCTTTCCTTTTTATTGCTCTTCTACGCTCAGTGCATGTTATGTGTGCTGGTGTTCACGTGCTAATATCGTGCAAATGAAGCTTGCAAAAAACAATATAATTGCCATGTCCTTATAAATCTCATAATTTCAATGATAGAACGATAATTTCTTCGCCATTTTGAATTAAAACGATTTTTTTTAAATGAATATTATATCTTATTTCCCTTAAAATGGTGCGGTGAAAAGATAAATCAAATAGGTTAGTTGAGTTGTACGAATATTTGCTTATTGATAGGATTATGTTGCCGATGCTTCTGTTCCAATTTCAATTTTTATATTTATTGTTAAAATGTGGAGGCATTGCACATGGTACATATATCATTGCTGATGTAGTTATTTTCCATAGGGACATAATATATTTAAATTCTTTGTCATTTTTGGGAGTGTAACTATCAAGTTCCAAGCATTGACTATACTAGACAAAACAATACTATTCGTTATCGTTCGCATTTGCGACTATGAACGAAGAAAAAACAGCCAAAGATATCACGACAGACAGACAGACACTGTCTCACTCAGGCACTTTTTCAGTATTGCCACCAAAAATTTATTTAGCAATATGAAATCTGTCTATGATTTTAAGCCTTTCTGAGAAAAAAATTTAGAAATTTGGTCAAATCAACAAACTTTTATGGCCTCTTGAAGTTGTGCATTTTTGGCCTAACGCCGTCGTTTTCTATAATACAAAAGAAACTGGCACTAGAAGGTATTTTTACGTCATCCAATATAGTCAGCATTCGGGCATATTTAGCTTATATTAAACATATACGTTCTTTCACGATGTTTAATTATAATATTCGAGAAAATAATGTCTTGCGAAGAAATCGATGAATCTTGAGCGATAATGATTCGAATTTTGACTCCAAAGCTTGGATGGTCGGAAAGACACAAATTCTAATCTCATCTTTTTTAAGCCCTGGAAAATTGGCTTTCTTTTGATTCGGCAAACTGCTAAACTGACGCTCCAAATCTTCTGGTTTTAAACGAGCCGAACAAAGTGTTGAAGCATTGGAAGGCTCAAATACGCGCTTTGCTTTAAAACCCAGATATTTCGTCTTCGCTTGCCCTCGGGCCTTTTATCATTATAAGGCATAGTGTGAAGACTCATACGAGAGCAAAGGCTTGACTCATATACGATCTTTCACGCTGTTTAATTATAATATTTAAGAAAATTATGTCTTGCGAAGAAAGCGATGAATCAAAATCAGAATTCAGTGTTCAGTCAGATAATTCTGACAAAAACTTTATTCAGGGATACGTGACAGAAAACTTGGAAAGCAATAAAACTTGAGCTATAAAGATTCGGATTTTGACTCCAAAGCATGGATTGTCGGAAAGACACAAACTCTAATCTCATCGTTTTTAGTCCCAAGAAAATTAGCGTTCTTTTGATTCAGCAAACTACTAAACTGACGCCAAATCCTTTGGTTTTAATCGAACCGAACAAAGTGTTGAAGCACTGGAAGGCTCAAAGTCTTGACTCATTCGTACAATTGGCTGCAACGCAACTATTTACCTTTTTTATGCTTTTACTAGTGCAAAGGCAATGCTTTTAGACGCTTATAGACTTAAGTTGTGCCTCAGCCAGCATTGACTTGATAGCAATTGAATACACGACTCGTGTAACACGTGTACCTTGGATGACGTCAGAAAATTAGCTAGTTTCAGACTCCTTATTATCACGGACATGGTTCACAAGAATATACGATTTTAGTGAATTTAACGCTTTTACAAAAATCAAACGGTTTGAACAAATTCAAAATTTTTTTCCTTAACGAGGCTTAAACTCATCGACAGATTTGATATGCTAATAAAATTTTTTGGTGGAAGGGACACTTTAAGACTCACAAGGTAAAATGTCCATTATTTTCACAGTAAAAGAATATAAATACGTACATAGAATGACTAAACATTTTATCTGTCTGGCTACACCACTGAAAACTTTATTCTTTAAAAATTCATAACCATTATCATTGTTTAGAAGGCATAATAAAAAAAAATGAGCAGGTGTAATTTATTTGGACTAATGCTTCATTCGTGACTTAGGACCTTAGGAAGACATAATGTAATTGGGGCACAGTTATAGGAACATATAGTATAAATTTATAGCGAACATACAGTAGATTGCATTGAATATTTTTAGACTTAAGTTGTGCCTCAGCCAGCATTGACTTGATAGCAATTGAATACACGACTCGTGTAACACGAGTACCTTGGATGACGTCAGAAAATTAGCTAGTTTCAGGCTTCTCCTTATCACGGACATAGAATATACGATTTTAGTGAATTTAACGTTTTTACAAAAATTTTTTCCTCAACGAGGCTTAAAATCATCGACAGATTTGATATTGCTAAAAAAACTTTTTGGTGGAAGGGACACTTTAAGACTCACAAGTTAAAATGTCTATTATTTTCACAGTAAAAGAATATAAAAACGTACATAGAAGGACTAAACATTTTATCAGTGTGGCTACACCACTGAAAATTTTATTCTTTAAAAATTCATAACCATTATCATTGTTTAGAAGGTATTATGATAAAAAAATGAGCAGGTGTAATTTATTTGAACTAATACTTCATTCACGACTTAGGACCTTAGGAAGACATAATGTAATTGGGGCACAGTTATAGGAACATATAGTATAATTTTATATAGAACATACAGTAGATTACATTGAATATTTTTGTGCCATGCATATCTTATTTCGCAAGTGATTACCATAGTGGCAGTCAGACACTACCATTTTTTGACCAATAGGTGCACTGAGCTGGCAAATTACACCCAGTAATATAATTATATATACAGCAGTAAGTTGCACAGAAAGTGGTCCTACTGTATATTCTCTATACTGTGGTTGGGGTGACATAAACATTTGGATGTAAAGATCCCTAGACAACAATGGTTTTCAAAGGAACTTAACACATGTAGCCTATATTATGCATACATAATATGATCTCCAAATTAACAATCATCCTACAGTCCTGCCACAGTTTTTCTTGTTAAAAAAGGGAGTGTGTCAAGAAGTCAACAAAAGTGATGAAAGCAATAAAAATGGTCAACAAAACATTGTAATAAGGAAACCAATGAAAAATTGGTGGACATAATTTTTATGACAGTTAACCCAAAATTGTGTAAAAGATGTAAGAATCTGCACGCCTATGACCAAAACCATTTTTCATTGGTTAGATTACTATTCTAAAAAAAATAGGCAAACTACATGAAATAGCTAGCAACTGAAGAATAAAAACATATCATATACATAAATTAATATGAGCCCCCACCCAACAATTATTGATCTTCCTGTACATGAATGAATTCAATTAAATATATAAATCTTGTAACTAATATATATTTAGCAACCACACATTGTCCACAATCATTGATTAGTTATAAAAGATGAAGAACACATATAAAATATTGATATTGGTTTGTTATTTCAGTAGCAAATCAACACATATCAACAAACAAGTTTTATCATATCAAAAGTTCAAAATATGTTGATGTACGTAACAAGTGATGTAAAATTCTTGATAAAGATAATTTTAAGGTCAAACGATGACAAAAACAACTTTCGAAGAAGAACAAATCTTTTTAAACACAGTGATTTAATGTTCTGCTTCACTTATATTCATTTCCTTATACAATGTTTGAAATCTCTAGCTTGAATATCTTGTTTATGTTTGTTGTATTTTATGGTTGTACAATAACTATGTTTAAATGCTTATCACGAATAATAAAGCAATTTTCAAACTAGTTATAGGGTCGAGTCATACCGACAATGGTCAATGTTCTAAGTAAATTTCAGATGAAAAATTGTCTTTGTTCTCTTAGATAGGATGCGTAAATTAAATTTGATTCGAGTCGTCATCTAAGGATAATAAATCCAAGTAAATAGATATATCTTATAAAAATATTATATTTAGCTACCATACATTGTCTATAATCATTGATATGTTACAAAAGATGAAGAACACATATAAAATATTGACTTTAGTATGTTGTTTCAGTTGCAAATCAACAGATATAAATTATAATTTCTTAAAAGCACGATAGATATCAGACATTTTAAATGAACGACGAGTTTTTTTAACGTAAACATGTTTCGGCATGCTTATGCCATCTTCAGTACATCGAATGAAGGTGATTAGCTATTTACAGGATATATATATATGTATGTGACTATCGTTAAGTGTATTAAATTACATTTAACGACAAAATACAATCAGACACACAAGCATCAGACGAACCTAACCAAAACAAACAAAACATATACTATTTCAAACTTCCTTACATTGGCTCATACTCACACACCACTCAACAAAAACTACGGAAGTTAACAAAACGCTTCTGTGTTGACTTAAAAATCAAATTGGTCTTCTCATCCTACAAAATAAAAAATCTTTTTAGTTTTAAAAACAGTATTCCATCTTTACTAAAATCTTGCGTGGTTTATGAATTTTCATGTGCGGGATGTAATTCCCGTTACGTTGGTGAGACAACTCGCCATCTCTCCACACGCATCAAAGAACACACATTCCGACAAAAACTCACATATTTATATACACCTTCACACTTCACCACATTGCAAATCAAAATACAACCATTCATGTTTTCGCATCTTAGACACCGCCAACTCTCCTTTTTCTCTTAAACTGAAAGAAGCGCTATACATTCAAAAACTCAAACCATACCTCAACAAACAAATATATCACATTAATACAATATTTAACCTGTAATATAATATCTAACACTAATTTTGTAATTTAATACACTTAACGATAGTCACATACATATATATATATATCCTGTAAACAGCTAATCACCTTCATTCGATGTACTGAAGATGGCATAAGCATGCCGAAACATGTTTACGTTAAAAAAACTCGTCGTTCATTTAAAATGTTTGATATCCATCGTGCTTTTGAGAAATTATGGTAATAAGAATTTATAAAATTTCGATTAGCCAGTAAGGTGCAAGGTGTGAATCAAATTCAAAATATAAAGATAAGATCCCAAAAGATCGTGTTTGAGAAAGCCAAACGTCACTTGCTTTGTTTTAATAAATATCAAAGAAATCGAACGCTTATGGTTATCTTTGAAACGATCTGTTGGACTCTAAAGTTTAGGTTGATAATTCAATAAAAACCCTTTAATATTTCAAACATGTTACCTTGTTCAGTACATAAAACACTGTCTAATTCTTGATCAACGTTATCAACGTCGTCGTCGGCGCTCTTGATTCACTGTATGAAGAAAAAAACGTCAAACTAGATTAATTGGTTATTTGTGACTTCAAAATATCATTTAATTTCAATAAACATCGACTACAAATCATCTAGAGTTGCAACTACGTAATAAGTACCGTGCTTATAGCCATGCATTAAAGTCAATAACGAGCATAATTTCTGTTCAACGAGAATGATCATGTCGAAGTAAGTGATTGCGAACTATACAATATCACATGTGCAAATTCGTCATTATGTCGCAACAAAACCTCATCATTCTTTGCAGACGCCGTGCATAATAAAAGTGAAAGCCGTTAGGGAGAGTAGCCTTTTGTCATTTCTCAAATAAATATTTTGACTGATGACTCTAAGCGATAAAATAAAATGCAGTCTACTGCTGTCGACACCTTAAGAATAAAATTTAATTTCAACAGACAAATTGAAAAACTCTTTCGATTTTTGAAATATAATTTGCCAACAACCATCATGCATAGTGCGCGTTTGTTCATTTCATATCAAAACATTTGTAGAATCACATATATCAATTATTGTTACTTAAAACGAATATCAAAAATTCATCAAACATTGCAGTGATTAGTACAACGAAGCATCTAACAATAAATTCAAAATTGGGAAGTGTTATGTCCCAACATTTCTAGGAGCGAATGTTTATTAAATGATTTTTATCTTCTGTCGAAGACTCGAAGATATTTCGATCTTGTGAAAGCTGCTTTTAGTTAAACTCTTAATCACAAGCAGTAACTAACGGTGATTTACATTGACTAGTCTTTGGGATCGCATGTAAATTTGCATTGCTTACAATCATTCACACAACTTATCAAATTTTGAGCATTTGAGCAATATATAGATAGCGAATGTTCACGGAAATAATCTTTACAATCTGTGACAAACTGGAATTGAAATTCAGGAGTTCGTTCCCATGTACTTTACTTATGTCACTGAAATTCGAACAACAAATACTTAATACATGATATTTACCTTTTGATGAAAATGCTTTGCACAATTTTATCGAAATTTTCGTAAGGCGTCTTCTCCAATGAATACGAAGACTAGAAAATGAAAGTATTGATCTCAGGAAGAATGTCATATGATCTCTGCGTGACCAGAAATACTATATGATTAAATATCATGTGTATAAACTTACGCTAGTTAACCTAATTTCTTTCAATAATTGACGAAAATTAGTCAATTTGATAAAAGAATTTTTGGTTTCACAAGAATTATTCCACATTATTCTTCCAGCATTATTTTTATGAATTTCAGTACATTCAGTTGTTTTCAAATTTCCGACAAAATCAGCGATTTTACAAAAAATGGGGAACGCCTGGGGGACATAAATTTTAGTTGCGTGTACCTCACTTTTTTGTTAAATATTGTTAATACAATCATGAGCATTTATTGTGTAAATATTAATGATGACACAGCTTCGTCGTGTCTGTATGACATGTATTTGTGTCTGAATGTAACAGAATGAATTAATTACGATATATTTCAAAATAATATGAATATATTATTAAATAGATAAAAGGTAGTATTATGTATTCATATATTTGATGCTCTTTAACTTCATAAGTCAAAAAGTAAATAATAAAGTCAACTTCCTATGGAAAAAATGACAGTTTTACTATTGTCTGCTCCTTTTGCCAACAAAAGATTCACCCAGCAAGACACGAAAAAACTATAGACTTCCATCGTTTTATAGGCTTTCATTGGAGCAGATGCAGGCTTGAGCCACAATTTCACGACGGACACGATCCCCCGGGAAAAATTGAAAAATTGAGAAAAGAGAGGTCGAAAACGCTATTTCCTGCGTTTTCATGATCAGATTACATGGTTTTGTGATTGCTTGATTCCACGTTTTTGTCAAATCATTTTGCGTTTTGCATCACCAGTGATAAGGACCTTCACTGTATATCATAGGTAGTTCTCTGCATGACAACACAATCACAACACGAAATTCTGCTTGGTAGTATAGTATCGGATTTCAGGGTTACGAAATTGCTTGGTCATATAACTAAAAACATTTTCAAATCTTAAAAAAGTGTGACATAAATAATATTAAATATATAATTTTATTTTAACTATGTTGATTAAATCTACTTCATTCAGTACCAATATACTTGCAGGCTAACAACATGTACGCATTGCGTACTATTTTTCTTAAAATGTATGCCTTGTATTTAATAAACGCAGTGTTTTGGGAGATATACCCAAAGGCCATGAAATGAAGAAAAGAAACGTGAATATTCATGATAGCTACAAAAATAGTGTTCTGACAAAAAGCTTTGCTTGGCCCAAAATGTGGACACTGTTTTTTTCCAAAACCAAACGAAATGGGAGGGAAACCGGTGGATCCGGTAAAATCCCTCCAATAAAAAAGATCAAAATTTAGAAAAATTTCTTTAAATTTTTTTAGTTTTAAGATGTCTCATAGTTTTGTTGTTTTTAATGATCCCGATGATCTACTTTAACACGTAGCGTAATCAGATCGTACAGCGTTGAATTTTCAGAACGACAAAAAAGTGCGCGACCTGACCATTCACCTTTTAATAACAATGAAAAATGAAATGACCAAAGTGACGTCATGACTTGCATAAAAATCAATTTTGATGTACACTAGACTTTGTTCGATTCAAAATAATTACTTTGATTTGTTAAGACCTTCATTAATAGCTGGCTTTCACTCGTGTGTTTAGTCAGAAAATTTAACAATTGTGAAATTTAGTTTTACGGAGTTTTTTAACTGTTGAATTTGAAAATGCTTTATACTGCTAACCATTATGCATAATAAAAGTCGCAAGTAAATGGTTTGAACCAGGGAGTATCGCTATATGTTTGTAAATGATGATCGTCCAGGTTAATAAAGTCTTGAGAAGGACTGTTTTAAAGGGATATAAAAGTCGCAAGTGTGAATCTTTCAATAAGGACGCTTGTCTCTTGGTGCTTCTGTCCGACTTGATCGTTCATTCATTGCACAGTTAGTAGGCCTAGACATAGCTACTCTACAAAAAACACGTTATAAATGTCAGCATAATGAATGAACAAAAACAGAATTTAAATACATGGAAAAAGAACAAAATTTTCATACCTGATTTCGAAGCGTTGTCCTGATCAGTCTGATCCAGGCGACTTAGTCGGGCCCTTTCTTTTTTCACCGCGTAATTGTTGCGTGTATATTGTTGAAATTAATTGCAACACTTTTATCTTAGAAATTCAATGAACCCTACTTGCAGCATTTCAATTTTCCTTATAAACGTTAAATAAAATTAGAAAAAAGTAGCGACTGAAAGCCAGCTATTTTCTCATAGGAAGTGACATCTTTTATTGATATTCTTTTAATTTGGGAGTTTTTCTTGATTATGGTTCAAATTATAAAATAGACCATCAGGATCCTTTTAACGATCTCATGCAGTTATTTATGGAAGTTAATTTTAACACTTATCTACTCAACTTACAAACCACAAGACATGGATTGTGTTTTCCACTCGCTTGTTTTCCATTTTCGTAGAATACAGTCTTTTTGTAGTCCACTCACTCCAATGTTAATGTTCATACGTACATATGCCGTTATACGATGTCCATTCAAAACGTTTGTACCATTCCATACACGAAGTTACCAGCATCATTAACCAATAAAGTAGCTACTGAGATCATGAATCACTTTTGTATAGATTACAATTGGTAAATTCAAGCAAAGGAAAAGGGATCACTTCATCACTCATCACTCAAAGAATGCTTAGTGCAGAGTTGATCTTCTGTGAGTATAAGCTGACCACCTTTAGGTGGGCTAATATAACAATGGGGCCCATCATTATATGAACAAACAACTGACATCAACAAAGAATCCAAACTACAAATGAACATTCTTGGCCATGAATCAACATGGCACATGAGTAATGACAAACCATTAAGAGTAACTGAAGTCAATGACACAGGTGGTAAAGGGACTTTCACAACTCCATCCAAGTGGGATGTACAATATAAGAAAATATCAATCAGATATATGGAGGATGAGCAAGTTACAATATGTTTTCTGTTTGATTATCCAAATGGTAAAACATGTACCTACATTTCATGAATAGCATTAGTCAGTTGAGTTTGAAAATTGAACAATGCAACAAGAACTTTAAACGATCAAAGGCTTAAAATCGTGGTCAAAGCATTTTAAAGTGAAAGATTTCATATTACAAAGCCAACAAATAAGACTAGTTGTTATTCCATGTAACTCATACTTCACTACTTAGTCAGTAAAAGGAGAGAATTTATCTTATTTTCTAACATTTAAGTGACTAAACCGTTGTTAACATTCCTTTAATTGAAGTCATGACTGAAATTTTTATTGTGATTGTCTCCTTAGGGCATGTCACCCATTCAAAAGACAATAACTAATCCTTCAGGAAGGCTTCGGTGCTTCTAAATAAAAATAATTCGTCAGAATTTTTGCATTTATATGGCATTATGCAAAGTAACGGGATATGATGTTGTAGGTTGGGATTCAAGAGACGATAATTAATGTAGAAACTAGACTTTAATTTTGTCCAAATATTTATTGCATCTTGTAGTCATATCTTGCTAGGTTAAGGTAAGGAGAGGGTTTAAATGCGTTTTGTTTGCCCTGATTTTCTCGACTACTAAAAATATTGTAAGAAATTTGAGCAAAGACAATTATGGATCTCGTTCATTGCAATTCTTCACCACAATCTGAAAAACTGCACCTCTAGCGTTCAACCTCATAGTGCATTTGAGACAGACGACAAATTTAGTGCATTTATCATTGCATATATTCAATAATGACTAATGTGACATTGAAGAAATAAACCAAAAGTCAATAGCATCAATAAAAAAACATTGAAATTTTCAGAAGAACAATATAAAGATAAATCAAGAAGCAATTTATCGTCAGCGTAGTCACTTACATTTAGTTTCCAGCCGTGGATTTATTTTTATACATGATACCGAAGCAAGTACGTGGGTAAAACATTTCAAAAGGGTTTGAAGGCAACACCTTTATTTTGCTTTGCACAATCATAAATCTTTTTACTTGTCGTCTATGTGTATAGTCTTGTTCCATCTCATGTGAACAACATCTGCTTTCCACGACGCATCGTGATTTACTTGTGGCAACACTTGAAGTGAATAGTATTTTTATGCATGGTGTTAAGCATGTCATTATATGTATTTGTTCCACATGATTGTTTAACATTCATTGTTCGTACTTGAACAAATTACCAGATATCTATCAAATCTAATTTTTAAAACAAAACGTATTGTTGCCAAACAAAAGAAATATGCTCTCTCTTCATTGATATACGTAAAATGTAAACGATAATTGACCATTTTTCTGTGATATTACGCAAATCCTTAATTAGTTAAAGTTATTCAGCCTATTAAACAACACAATTACATCGTTTTGGGCATTAAGATGTTGGTGACGTCAACCAAAACATCCTTAAACCCTCTCCTAACCTTAACTTAGCAAGATGCGACTGCAAGATTCAATAAATATTTGGACAAAATTAAAGTATAGTTTCCAAATTTAATATCGTCTCATGAATCTAAGCCTACATCATCAAGCATCGTTACTTTGTATAACGACATTAAAACGTAAAAAAATCTGAAAATTCTAATGACTTTTTTTATTTAAACGCATTGAAGGTGATTTGAACGAAAGTCTTTGTGAATAATGACATGCTCTAAGTAGCCAATCACAATAAAACATTTTGTCACGACGTCCATTAAAGAAATGTTAACAACGGAAAATTAGTCACTTAAGGGGCTAACCGTGATTCAGTGAGGTTAAATTATTTCGACGCATTGAAAGGGTGAGGGGCATCTCGAGTCGATTTATCTGATGATAAGTATAGAATCGTTTTAGAATTGTATTGAATAGAATTTTGTCATTACTTTGTGTTGATGCTTGGTTTAGTGTAATAGTTGTTTTATGTTTGAAAACATGTCCAAACAACTGTAGGATCAAGTTGCAAAAATTTTAATAAGATCATTATAAGAAAAAAACATGACTGAAAACATGTTTTTTGGGGAGGACATTTTGCTGCGTAGCGGTTATTGATTGATGATTGGGGGGGGGGGGCACTAATATTTATATACTGTATACATGTTCTACTATATTAGTTATTTAATTTCTTTTGAAATCCATAGTGATTAAGGATTATACAAAATAAATGACAATAAACTAATAAAAAAAAGGTTGACTTTTTTGTGCCTTTTGATTCCTACAGTAGGTAACAAAGAGTTGAAAACCCACAACAGACATGTTCATATATTTAAAATAACCCTTTCCTCTCTATTAACTACAACTAGCTCTGTTTGATTCATATTTTTTCCTTTGACAGACATTAGTCATGGTCTTTTCTTTGAAAATGCTATTATGGACATAATGTTCCATTTTATAACTTAATTTAGGCAAAAAATCTGCAATGTATAAATTATATGTTCCATGATTGTGGAAAAGTGTGAATTGGTAGAATATTGTTGTAAAAATAAGGCAGGTTATAATTTCACCTATCAAAACAGAAGTTGTCACCTGTCAAAGTTGTGATGCAGTTGATGTGAAATAAAAAACACCCTTCATCAATGACACCAAAAAATGCACTGTTTATAGGCAAACCTTGCTTCTATAGTTTCCTCAAGGATGCGACAACTTTGGGTAATTATATTTGTCGAATGGAGATTCTCATGTTGATTCACCCCACCACTAGCTTCATCTTTAATACAAGTTTCAACTATAGCCACAGATGAATTTTCAAACAAAGGTGAGGTCTAGCTTCTTGGGGAAGTTGGTTTTGAAGCTATCTGAAGAAATGTGCAGAGATTAGGAAGATATAAAACAACGTAACAAATTCCTGTAATACTCCAAGCTTGGTAAAACAAAACTCTGTAATTGAAATGTATAATTTACGTATATTAAGATGCAAGTTATGCATGATGAAAGGGTTCAAATTGGTATTTGAGGGAAGGAGCCCCTTTGCTCAAATTTCTCTCACAAAAATCAAGGCAATCTATAATTGATAACATTGATAGAAAGTCATCTAGATTGAAACATGCACTAATTTAGCTTCAAAAACAAACTTAAACTTTTATGACATTTTGTTAACCCTACTATGCTATTAAAAAGATAAAAAAGTGCACTATAATTCAATGTATTGACTTGAAATATATGATTTGCTTAATGCACATGATAAGGTAAAATTGTAACAGTGTTTTGTGAAGAAGCAAATAATGCCATGTTCCAACCGATATTTCAGAATGCAAGATTAGTTATAATTATAAGTCAATATCTTGGGAATAGTAAAAAAAGTATCTTACTTTATGTTAAGTCTTAAAGTATGACTTAAGTTTTGAAAAACATCATAGTATTAAACCAAACTGAGGTTGATGGTATTGTTTAAATATTTTGTTACTGTTACATTCTTCGGTCATTGGTGTGTAGTCTAATTTAACACATAAAGCCCTGTTTCCATATAATCGTCTCGATCGTCTGTCGTCTGAAAGCGTGCAGGAACGATATTGCACGCAAACGTTTTAATCGTCTATATAGAACAGAGTTCCATCTTGACGATTGTAATCGCTCTGATGGCCTTGTTCGTTTCGATAGTCTTGAATATGTTTCCATAAAAACGCTCTAATCGTCCTTGTACGCTTTCAGAGGATTGAAGATCGAGACGATTATATGGAAACCGGGCTTAAACGAATGCGACAATGACATTTTAAAATACAAAATAAAATGAACAAAAAAATGTGCTGCCTTTCGGGCATCTCACTATACAACATAACTCATAAAAACTTGAAAATTTCGGTTTAGTTCAAAATCCACGATACTAAATCATCAATAAATTTAACTCACCTCTGTATATTTCATACTGTGTTGTAAACATTTATCGCGTTGTCTTTACGGTTCTCGGTTTGTTTGAAATTGCATCTTTAGTGGTCACTTACATACAGTTTTTATTCTATTTTTTCTCGCACGCATATCTATTTCCAAACACTCATAAACAAACGGGCAATTTCGATTGAACATTGTATTGTACGCGCGGAATATATCTGTCGGGGAGACTAGGGAGAAGTTGAAACGTAAATAACGCTAAAAATGTTTTTTTATTTCAACCAATCATTCGCGCCATCGGTTCCCGCACTTGCGTTCAAAAATTGAGGTTTAAATTCCGCTGCACGAATATCAATTCGATTTCATGCGCCACTAAAGACAAGGTTTATATAAGGAAAAAGGTAAGTTATAACTTATATGTACATCGGGTTTATTTAATTAGAATAACAACAAGATGGATAGGTCTAATTGAAAGTACTTTGTATTTTACACAGATAAATTTGAAGTTATTGCCACATGATATTAAACGGAATGTAACTATTTAAGCTGATTCATTATTTTCAAACCTTTGTTACATAAATAAATCGTCATGCCAAACGCATTTTGGAGGTTTAACATACTAACGATGGTACAATTGTACGTATGTCACTAAATAGTACAACTGTACGTTGGCGAAGGCCGACCGAACTGTTGTGGACGAAATATACACTATAGCAGGCACGTTTAGATGAACGGGCTAGCTACAGGGTGTATCAATAACGACATTTAGAAACTAACCTATCGTGAAATTTCAAGACCTGATGACGATGCTAATCAGTGTGATACATTTCAGCGCATGTTTTGTTGTTAGAACTTGTGTCAAATTCCCAGGATCAGAAAAGCTTTTGCGCAAGTATATGCAAGTAGCTAACAATATTTTATGCAGTAGTGTGCCGAGCCTAGTCGTAGCAATTGAAATTATCACAATACGTCAATTTCTAAAGATCTTTGATACACCCTGTACACTATACACCCTGTATACATTACAGCCTGTACACAATAGACCCTGTACACAATAGACCCTGTACACTTAACACCTTGTACACTATACACCCTGTGCACAATACAGCCTGTACACAATACACCCTGTAAACAATACACCCTGTACACAATACACCCTGTACACAATACATCCTGTACACAATACACCCTGTGCACAATACACCCTGTGCAAAATACACCCTGTACACAATAACCCTGTGCACAATACAGCCTGTACACAATACACCCTGTGCACAATACAGCCTGTACACAATACACCCTGTGCACAATACACCCTGTGCACAATACAGCCTGTACACAATACACCCTGTACACAATACAGCCTGTACACAATACACCCTGTGCACAATACAGCCTGTACACAATACACCCTGTACACAATACACCCTGTGCACAATACACCCTGTACACAATACACCCTATACCTGCACACTTTACACCACATACACTAAACACTCTTCAAGATTCATCACTAAACACTGCTCCAAGGGCATTAAAAAATTTAAACATTGAAACCATTTGAAATCAACTCAAGTTTCGACTATAAATGCATGGTTCAGCAGTAATTGTACCCCAAGGAGGCAGCTAGTGCACATAGTAAATCCAAGAACACAATTCCTTTTAATTGTGTTTACGCCTCCTTGTGGATCAATGGAAATTCTAAAGGTCAGATGATATCTACGGATTGAATTCTTTTAACACACCCTGTATGCTTTAAATACACAATTTGTATAACAATGTACCCTCTTGTGCAATGGTGGCTCAGGACTGGGTAGTAGAACAGATGATTACACATTGTTGCTGTTTTACACTAGAGTCCCCAGAGTGCTCAAACATGTAGAAATATTCCTTCAACTTTTATGTTCTTGAGGACAATATTCATAAGACATCCCTACAACATAAGACAAGGTATAACAGATTTTTAAACTTGTGGTTTGCCAGAGGGTGAGGCATCTTTAAAAGAATGTGGTTATGTGGATGCCAAAGATGATTATAAAACAGGAAAGGCATACTGTATATAATCTCAATGTTTAAAGTTGTGTGCAACACAAATATTGAAAATCAAATGGTCTGTCTGTACTGTATGCATGTTATTCAGAACTAGCTTCATTGAAATACTGAGTGATGCCATGAAATGCTCTTCAAAGTAATGTTTAATGGTGAACATTCCGTCTCCAAACGCTTTCATGCTAATCTTCTATACCCTAATATGCTTACTTTGACAAAAATTGCAAATGAGAAACCACACAATCAGCACAATGATGCAAATATAGATTATCTTTAGAAAAAACAATGGAAAATTCACTTGGTAAATTAAAGCTTAATTAATGTTTTTAAGGAAGCTTATTGAGCTTTAAATGAAATACATACCATACGCTACTTTGAACATGATCGTATCTGACAGTGAGTTTCTACTCAACTTTAAAATTAAGTTCCTGAAATGAGGAAAAAATTATTTTCTGTAAAGAATCACAAGCTAATTACTTCAACTAAAATGAATACTCCTCCTTAAACAAAACATTAAGATGCATTATCAATGGTGTTGAAAGCATACAATAAGTGGAAAACATGACACAACTGCCAAATTGGTGAAGACGGTTTTAAAGATGTGCCCCCCATTTTAGTCCTTCCAGTGCCGTTGTGCAATAATATAGGTTGCATCTGAATTTGTGCAAACTTGAAATTGATAGTTATTTGAATGCACCAGAAGAATGGCTTCAAAATATTGCACTACATTCTTTCTGCACATGATAATATAGCCATAGAGCAACTATTTTTTGAAATTCTCGTGATTTTGAAACTGCATCATCTTGTCTACAATAATTCCTCATTGGCATCTTGGTTGCCAATAAGAAGATGTTCATTCACAGTGACTAATCAAATGTGACAATGTATGTTTAATACATTATGAGCATTGATCTGTGTAGATTGCTTCCCCCTGTTCCATATGATGTAATCATTTAAAGCAGGTGGGACTGTCAAAGCTCACCAGACTGGATCTGGTAATAAAAATTACCAACTCTGATCACACTAAGCTAACCTCTCCTAAAAGCACTTGCAAGATACAAATAAAGAGACTTGATTCTAATTCATGCAATTTAAAATTCACTCTATATTCAAGGTTAGTCGTTGAAGGACTGCATCTCAAATTTCGCTAAAGACATTAAAATTTCAGGACAACACTTTCCCAGGGCCACTGCTACAACATTAGTTAGGAAGGGTGTTATTCATCGATGCAGCAGATATGAGTTGGACGCATTGAGTTCTCTGTGACCTTGAGGTCTTATACAACTCAATGGTTGGGTGCAACAGAATATATGAATTTTATAGCCCCCCTCCAGCTACGACCCTGTCTAATCATTTAATACTTGTTTAACAAATATTTCACCTTCGCAGCTATTCTTTTCTTTGTCTTAGCACTTTCCATGCAACTTGACCAGAGAGTTTCACAATGTTTATTCCCGTTCATCCACCCCCTTTCTGCCTGCAATTCAAACAGTCATTAGTAGTATAGAGAGCGTCGTTTCTGGCGCACGTCACATCTTCTCGTCATTTCTAGCGCACCTCACACCTTCTCGTCATTTCTAGCGCACCTCCCACCTTCTCGTCATTTCTGGCGCACTCACAGTTTGAAGGGTATACACAAATCTAAGCGCCCCAGCCTAGCATAATTACAGCCTGAATGTCAAACAACGAATGTGATTATTATTTAGAAGTAGCGTATAGTAGAGATTACATTAGTAAGATGAATAGTGAATCAAAAAGAGTACGTATGAAAAGACAAGAGCAAAAAGAAAAAAGAGAAAGAGAAAAAAAAATTGAATAATATAATAATAAGACAAAGAGAAGAAAATCTTAAATTACAAACCAGGCTGCTAATACAGACAGGTACGATACAATTAGCAGAGTAATATTTATATAGTATAAAAATCGAGATGGACACTGTTAGAGAGATTCTGCTACTATATAAACAGGGTCTTATAAGTGGAAGAGCTCTAAACTCATTCGTTGAAGCTTTTCAACCACTAGCATCTACATCAAGAAAGCGCATCAATACAGCTCCTGAACCTCCTTCGGCACCATGTAAGCGCAGACCGCCTGTAGGTTGGGAAGCTGCGTATGGAAATATGAGCGACCCAGCGTTAATACGCTATAACGAACTTCAGTTTCTAATTGCGATTCCTCCAAAACTGAAACTCAGACGCCTCTGGCGGCCGGTTCACCTTGCCAAACGTGAAGTGTTCTTATTCAGTTCTAGATAATGAAGGAAGCCTTCGGACTCATCTGGCTTCGTGTAGCAAATCTTCATCAAAAACCGTTGAAGATTCGGGTATTATACTTTCTATTGTGAATGTGATAATTACTTTCACCCCATCTGTTGAACAACTAATGTTGCATCAGGGTAAGTCTACATCTATAAAATCGCTATAGCTACATTCAGAGTTAATATCACCAATACGATGTGTTTTTGTTTTACTTAAGACAAGTAATTTGCTAGAGATTGACTCGTAGCGCCCCTGAACTTGTAAAAATTTTTAAAGAGAGCCTCACGCGTACATCTACGTCTGAATAGTTCCAAGAAGATATGACTATTTTTCAGCACTAGAATTATATTCTAGTTGGATTTTTCAAAATTTTCTCTCTATTTTGTCGTAAGTATACTTCTACTGCTCGGCGAAAGAGATCGTTTGTTGATTCAAATTCATGAACCGGAGTTTCAACTGCGTTAGACATTTTAATGTTTGTGTGACAATACACAACTGAAGTGATAAACACTATAAATATATTATAAAAATTTTTGTTAGTATATTAAGAATACTCTAAATAGTGTACCTCATAGCTTCGCGTCCAGTTAGGGGGTATTGTACTAACATATGACATCAATTTGTTAGTGGTATCATGTACGAAACTAACATAGGGTCCCCAATTTTGTTGAAATACGGTGGATCTTATATGAAACCACTCGTTTTGAGATCATTCAAACCAAATGTTTAATAATGCTATTTTATTATTTTCGAGTGTTTTCCAGTAGAAACGTGAGGCCCTGTGGCTCCAATATCTCCTTTAGGCCCTTGAGTTCCTGTGGTTGGACGCACCATCGCTTCCATTAGTCTCATCAGTTCCGTCATCCCCTGGCCCTCGAGGTCCTGTCTCTCTTTTGGGCCCTCTGTCCCCAGGGTCACCTTTATCTCCTTAGCTCCTATAAAACCCTCATCACCTTTCCTCTTTTCTCCTTTCCTCTAGGACCCGTATCTCCTTGAGCCCCCGCAGCTCCTGTATCACCTTTATCTCCCTTAGCTCCTCTTGGGCCTCTAGGCCCTGGCGGTCCTAATTTTCCAGATCCATAACCATCATCAGTTCCACCGATTACTACAGTTGCCATTAGTTTGATGCATTTATACTATATATAATAGAAAATTTTTATTAATTACTGGATTTATATTTGACCGCGAGAGAAATCTGACGAGCCTCCAGTCAGACCCGCGATTTTTTAAAGCTTGAGCTTCACCTTCACGGCGTGCGCTTTCAGCAGCGGCGGCAACAGCTTCTTCTTTTCACGCTCAAGTTCTTATTTGTCTTTCCATCTCTTTAAGTAGAAAAGCCACATCGGCAGCCTGTTTCTTACGCATCGGACGTCGAATTCATCTTGGATAGTGCGTTTACGCTCGTTAAAACGCCAAAATTGATATAGAACCTGTTCAAACTCTTCATGTGAGACTCGGCTGTCACTGAGAGCACGTGACGTAATATCACCAGTCATCAGAATTGTTGCAGCGGGCTATGCGGTCGTGCATTTTAGCCTCTTCTCGAGCTTTTACAAACAACACGCCCAACACCTAAGATCAACACGCCAGCGACAGCAAGAGCTTCAAGAGCGGCCCCAGCCGGGACTCACCAGATAGAGTGAGAGCAATACCTCCAGTTCCTGTCACGACTGTAAAGGCACTCGATGCAGCAGATAAGGTGTCCAGTGTCGAAATAATGCGCGTGTATTTTTACGCAGCTTATGACGAGCGTCACGCTCTTGGCGGAGCTCTGCCTCAATGTTTGAAATGCGAGCAAGGCGAAGTTTCTCATTTCGACTGATGAACGGGGTGAAAGAACATCTTCTACCCTTGGTATTCATAATCACGTTTTAAATGGATATATCCGTGGTAACAGCCTAGGAACGTCTACTGGCAGGCTGGGTGCGCTTGCAGTTGCCATTTTATTGCAGTACTATATATAGATGCAGAAAAATTGGTCTGTTATTATATGATAATTAGTTTAATGATTAGTTTGATGATTAGTGATGTGATATGATTAGTCGGATATAATATGGCTCATAAATTTCGACCTACTGACCGCTAATAAATTAAAAGCGCCACCATTGGATGGTGCCCGAATTATCTGATCGTAGGCCCTACTAAATCCGGTAAAACGAACCTTTTAATTAACATGATTATGCGTTGGCAGTGCCCTAAATTAACTATTTACACAACAAGTCGCGACCAGGAAAAATATCAGATTCTATCAGAGTTCTACGAAAGCATCGGCCTGGAAGAATGTGTTGAATTAAGAGAACCTGATGATGTAATTCCAGTAGAGGAGTTGGACACTAAACCCGAGACAGTAGTCTTTGACGATATTTGGCTCGATTCAAAAGCTAAACCCAATCAAAGAGTATTTCTCAGCAAGTCGACATAAGAATGTCACAGCCATATACTTAGCGCAATACTATGCGTCCCTAAGTATAATAGATGCTAGCACCGACTGTATTTCAGGTAGATTATAATTTTTCATTACACCAAATGGGTCGTCCATTTTTTTGTCCTATTATTTAGTAAGATAAAAAAACATTTATCTATCTTTATCTATCTCGAGATCGAAGTTCAAGTATGTTCAGGTCAGTTGCATCTATGGAAGAGAGCGAAAAATTAGTCCAAGAGTTTGTAAAAAACCGCGCGTAACTCAAGCGGTGCCAAGTCGATTTCAAAGTGTCTCGACAGCACGAAGGAGAATTCTGTAGCAGAAGCTATTAACGAAAAACAAGACGAAGAAATTTAAGGGTTGCAAGAAGTCACTCAAGCGGTTGAGAACACTCAACAGCAGCTTGCCCAACGGCTAGATGATCTAGTCCTGTTAACAAAAGACAAACCATCTTGGAAGGTTATAGAGAATTCAAATTTGCTTGATCGGTTGGAGGCTGGTGATTTTATAAACGACGTAAATTTTGAAAATCTTGGAAAATCTATCGGCCCGTCTACAAGAAGAACCGCTTCTCCAGCTAACCGAGAGCTATGCAAAGAAAACCTCGGACGTTACAATGTTCTAAAAGAAAAAAGAAGTCGCCCCAAACAACTCTTTAAAAAAACACGAACAGGAACTGGAGTGCACTAGTATAATAGCCCATCAGAGCTTATTGACCGCCTTCACCTTTCCTGCAAGTCTGTAGAGACTGGTAATGACTCACGTGAGTTGAAAAACGATATTGAAACGATTCTAATAAAACTGCTAGACGAAAGTGCGATATCGAAAAGTTATTACCGAAAAATTAGAAATACATACGTGCGTTAAAATTTCTCCTTATATATTATACAGAGCTATTGCTTAGTCTGTTAGTCTGATTTGATACGTAGTCTGATGTGATATGTTACGTTTAGTGTTATTAATATAACCATAATGGCTGGAGTATTAGAAGACGAATCAGCATTGAGATAGACCCAACAAGAGCCGTTGCGGCGTACGGTGGAGAAGCGAATGACTTTCAAATTGGCTTTAGGCCACCTATACCTTTAGAATCTAACAAAAAATATCAAGTGGCTCTTACTGAAGCTAGTTTGTGGAATTCGAGGGAAAATGTCCCTACGAAAAACAATCAAGTAATGTTTGAGATTAGAAGAGGAAACTATGGTAGTGATCCAAGCACAGGCGAGCTCTGACAAAATGTAATTCAACGGCAAACGATTGCAATACTTCCAGGTGCTTACAACATTCCCGACATCAATCAAGCTATTGAAGATGCTATGGAATCATTGGGGTAAAGTTCGCACATGAAGATGAGATCGCGAGACGTGATCCACCCTTTGTGCTTTCAGTAAATATTCCTACATCAAAATCTGCGATTACTATTAAAGGTGACCTTGTAGTTTCCTTTGACACAGACAACAGCATGGCCCCTATTCTTGGGTTTGCTGGGAGTGGAGGTAATATTACTACAGGAAACACTTTAAGTCAGAATCGAATTAACATTACAGATGTACAGAAGATCCATATTCACTGCTCGCTTGTTATTTCAAGTATATTAAACGGGAATCCTAGTGATGTTATTAAATCATTTACTCCAAACCGAGGACCTGGACGTTTGTTGGAAATAACTCTTAGTCCACCGACCTACTTACCACTCATAAAAACTAGCCTTATTAATAAAGTAGGAATGGAAATCACTGATCAGTCAGGAAATAAAATTGATTTAAATGGCGAGCAAGT